CCCGCCTGTCTCTGATGTTGGTCAGGTAGGCAGAGATGTAATCAATCAGCTCTTTACCTGCAGCGCGGGGGACATCGGAGGTGATCAGCCGACAGTTGTTTTAGAAAATAATGCAGTGTAATGCTTAAGCAAAGTATCACACGTTTACTGCTAAAAAGAAAACATTTTTCATGAGTGTCGTTATATTTTTAAAATAATTAGAAAAACGAACATCTACATTCAATGTATCAATACATTTCAAAGTGGATACCTGTGAAAAAAACTGGATTCAGAGTAATGATACTTATTTTAATTTATATATACCAACGTTGTGAACAGTGCAGTTAACTGCAGTTAAACAAGGCAAGGTTCTGGTATAAAACCGAATGAAAAGACGTTCAGATCAGAAACTAGACGTGCCCAGCACTAACCTCTCCTGTTGTACTCTTCGGACTGCATCCTCGGCGCTCAAGTAAGAAGTCACAAACGCAAGTGAGCTCTCGATGTAACACGTCTGTTTGGCTGTTGTTTTATAGGCAGCGAGGAGTTTTTATACTCGCAATCAGCGGCGGAACACGTCCTCTTTTGTAATTATGACGTCTGATCTCAAAAGAGTACACAACAGACAAAAAATGCCCCCCCCCCGCCATCCTCAGGCCGTCAATAAAATAGGAGCACACACAACTAATGGAAGACATTAAACTAGGCTTACCTCAATGGAAAAACTGAAAAGTATAAACACTATTGTTGTTGTTGGTGGTGCTATTTTGAAACTGCACATATTTCTTCACAGATTACGTCCTAGAACGTTTCATAGCAATAAATAATATTCCAGAGATGGGCGATCGCGGCAGGGAAAGGGGCTCTTTGGAAGTAGCAAAAAGATTGTGTTTAACCTTTAAAATGAGAATGGGGATTTACAGAATGGATCAACTACGAATGTAAATTTACACACCCCGACGTTCAATCAAGAAAAATCATTACTATACCAGTGCTGATTATACATTTTCTACGGCACTGGATAACATTTTATGGGATAAAGTTGATACAGTACAAATCAAAGCAATTCATTACCATGAATAGATTAAGAGACATAAACCATAACCATAGTTACCTGAAACCAGATAACGAAACGCCCACCGTTTCATTATACCCTGGCTTGTGGCAAAAACAAACAAGGAAGAGATCCTGAACATCTCATTAAAAGATAGGGTTTTAGCAGCCCAATTTTAGAAGCAACGGAACGGAGGTTTACTTTGACCTGCACTGAACAGCGTATGAATGAGTGATATTTACTCAGCCGACTGATCGAAGCCGAGCATGGGAAAACCCGCACATGGCAGTATCTTCCACAGGCGTGACGAAGGCTTTTTATGCAATATTTTTGTGCATTACTCTGAGCAAGGCATTATGGCTTTTCTGCAACAGGTGTTCTTTGTGTGTTACTGTGCTCCCTTTGCAAAAGCAAATGAAATTCACAATCAGAAAAAGAAGCGAAAAGATACTTTTCGTCGGTTTATTGAATGCTACAGTGAACTCCGGAAGTATTGGCACCCCTTGATAAATATAAAGAAAAAAATAAGTATAAAACAATACGTTCATTAAGATATATATTGCCAACATAAGGAATTTATTATCCTGAATTAATGATTCAATCGAATCAACCAAGATAAAAAAACAATATTATTTTCCCCCAAATAAACAATTATTGGCACCCCTGTTTGTAGTACTCATTGACAGGGATCCTAGCCCATTCCTCCATGCAGAACCTTTCCAGATCCTTGAGGTTTGCAGATGTGCACTAATGGACAGCCCTCGTCAGCTCAGACCACAGGTTTTCAATAGGATTCACGTCAGGGGACTGAGATGGCCATGGCCAAAAAGTGTGTTTTGGATCCCTGTCACATTGAAAGATCCATCTTCGGCCAAGACGCAGCCTCCCGGCAGAAGCAACCAGGTTTTTGGCCAAACCGGCCTGGTTCTTTTGAGAACTCATGATGCCACTGATCTTAACGAGGGCCCCAGGACCACTGGCAGCAAAGCAGCCCCAGCCCACCATATTGAACAGTAGGTATGAGGCTCTATTCGGAATACTGTATGCGTTCCTCTTCTTACGCCAAACATACCAGTGATGACTGTGGACAAAAAGTTCAATTTTGGTCTCATCTGGCCACAGCACCCGCTCCCAGTCAAAGGGCCAATAGCATTTGGCAAAGGACAAGATGGGTTTGCATCCTCTTCCTGGCAAATTAACCACCACTCCAGTGGTGTTGAAGTTTTTAATTATGCCCCTGACAGTCAATATAGATATTTTTAAGATTTTACTTATTTTTTATCCCCATTATGTGCTTCGTGAAGATCAAAAATGCTTAGCCTCATTTCTGTGGTAAGTTCTTTGACCTTCCCCATGCTGATGGATGACAAAAGGTTTTTCTGTGTGCATTTAATCATTTATATACCCAAGGGAAACAGGAAGTCACTAAAGTACACACATTAGATCATTAAGATAAAACTGAACTTCTATAAGTACAAATATATTATTTTTCAGATGTGTTTCATCGTATTTGAAGTGATCTTGAAGTAACAGAATTATTTGGTTTCCAATTGAACGTTGAAATGAAAAAATGTTTTAGAAAAAAAGGACAAATATTCCTCTCGCAAATTATCGATGTGGTTTATTTTATTAGGACTTTTCTTCATGTTTAATCAAGGGGTGCCAATAATTCTGGAGTATCACTGTATCTGCCATATAAAGATATAGATATGATGCTGTATTGAGTTAACCAATTTACAAAACAGGATGTTAATAGTTTCTAAAATTACATGCTTGTAAAGTAAAATCTTTTCATTAAAAAACTCTTAATTATGAAGGAGAACAAAAAGGACAGAATTTCTGAGGGGCTGCTGCCACTGTTGTGAAATTGCAAGACCAAGAAGACATTTCAGTATGTATTTTTGTTAAAAAAGTGAGCTTCCTCACATTCTTATATCTGGTAATCTCCTGAGCCTACAGAACATAAGAAACAGCTTCCCGGAATGAGCGATAAAACATTCAGAAGTCCATTCATCCTTCAAACATGATTTCATTTATTTTAAAAGAGAAATATAAAAAGAAAAAAAACTACTCCTTTACAAATTTATGCGAGAAGGCTCAATCAACTACATAAAATGTATTAAATACATGACATTTAAAAGCCAGTTCTCATTTCAGTCTGGTAGTGCTCTTAGTATCGGGAAGAGTGTCCGAGATGTGTATAAGCAGAGAATGGCAGCTCACCTTTTCATTTCATTCCTGACAAATCAGAACTTGGTTCTTATCCAACCTCAGTTGCAGAGCCATGAGGCACAGATACAGTAAAACATGACACTGAAAAGACTCCTTCCATTGTAACTAGAACATTCAAAGTGAATTTGTAGGGATTTTGGCCTTAATGCCCTTAGGGAGGCTTAAGGAGCCAAGAGCATACCACAAGGCTCAGGTATCTGTACTGGAATCACACAGCAGCGAAGAGAGCCGTCTGCTAAAAAAAACAGTTGGAGTATCCCATATTATGTAGTGTCTAACTTTGGCAGACAATGTAGGATTTCCACCATGTGCTGAAATACACAAGCTGTGAAGATTCACCAAATTCATCCTGTGACCAAATCAAACTGAATTTGATTTTTGCAAGGTTTTTATTTTTTTTTTATGGACACCACTATCAGGCTAAGCTCATTTCTTCATTTCTGTATAGTAAAACCCACATTGCTACACCGATCTGCCAAAACACAAAATACACAAATTCACCCCTTTCAGCCTGATTTCTTGGTTCTCCTTGAAAAGGTAAGAAGATTCTGTTTTATCTGGGTGTCACTGCAGTGCAAAGGCAAAACTTCTATAGCACCACCTTCCTTTTATTAAAAAAAAACACAAATGAAGAATAAAACACCGGCATTAAATTCAGCCCGTACTCAGGATTATTTACACACCGATATTGGTACAAGAAGTGCTTTTATAGTGAAGAAAATGTCTTTTCATAGCAGAAAGCTTTCCATAACGAAGAATGGACAATCCAGGACCCTGCCATGGGCCCGGTCAGTTCTTCTACCTGGAGAAGCATGTGGGGGATCTTCCTTCCACACGCCTCCATCTGTGGGTAAAATGACGAAGAGCGACCACAAACCCTCCCCACTGCCTGTTACACTGTTTCAACCGCTCGCCTGAGAGCAGCCTTTCTCGAGTCCGTCCCCCTCCCGTCTGCTCACACGGCCTTTTTATGAGACTGGTGTCGAGTGATCGCCTCTAGCTTCTGCCTGTATGCCTCGGCCTCCTTCTCCTTCTTCAAAAGCTGCTGCCGGTACTTCTGGGCTTCCCGATTAGCCTCCTCTAACTGTTTCTGTAGAGCTTCTTTCTCCTGTGGGTGCATAGGAAAGCAGAGAGCTGGTTTGAGACGAGCAGAACACGTCTTAAGGAGTCACTGAAAGGAGTTCATTTCCACGGAGATCTAGTCTCGCTGCTGTTCCCCAGACAGCAGTTTCTGCTGTGTGAACTGGCGTTCGTCACCCGTTTCTTGTGCCTTCTCTTTATTCAAAAACGACTGGAAATGAAAAACACTGACAGCACCGAGTCCTACAATTGTAAGTGTCCTGCTCTCCTTGCAGGTAAATACAACTGCATGAGTTTCAGCCCGTGAGACAAACACCACGTTAAACTACACGGCTGCAGTTTCATTTCATTGTGCTCTTGGATTTCATGGCTCCAAGTCACAGCAACCTTATTTTAAATCCCCAAATCAATACTCATTTCTTTAAGTTGGCATTTCGTAACTTTTGTTCAACTCCCATAAGTCATTTCTTGTATGTAGATCAATACTCTATGAACTGCCTTCCAAAACAAAGTGAACAAGATATAGGCAATCAGACGATCTTTATAAATGAAAAAAGTCTATTGCATTAAATCATTTTTTTATCTGAAAATGTATTCAAGACAAACTGGCTACATATCACTTATGAGATGAAGGTCATTCTGCATCTACACATTCTCCGTGCAGCAGATTTTATCAGCAATGGAAAATAATGTCCCTGGAGACAAATATATCAATACACATTGTAAAACTAATTAAAATGACTGTCAAATGAAACCATACCATGCCACATAAATAATCACAATTATGAACAGAGACTCTCCAATTAAAAGAAGCAGTTGTAGGTGTTGGGATTTTCTAAGAACACATGCAACTCAACTGTCTTCCCAGAGCAGATGCAAATCACTTGCTTTGGATTACAAATTTTAATGACTGCATGACTAGCCTTAATACACAGTAAAATGAAGATTGTTTTACAGACAGCTCCACATCACCATTAAAACGTTCTGTATTATTAATGTGCACATACTTCAGATTCTTTGCCTCTGTCTGCCTATTCCCATTTCTATTACTGAAGTCAAATACTGTACTATAAATTGCGACAACCTCAAAATAAAACCCTGATCTAAAACTTTTTAAAACATCTGAAACATTTGGCATTTTAATTGGGGGGAAAAAACAATCAAATGCTATGAAATAATACAAACCATTTTGAACTCCAAGGATAGTATATTAGATATACATTAGTATTACCAGTTACCTGGCATTACAGCACTTTCAAATAAAGCTCTGCTCCTTAATATTTCCATGCTACACAAAAGGCCGAATTCCAGTAGAGGATTTAAAAGTTGATTTTGCTCGTGTTCAGTGTTTCATAATACTTGACTTAAAATCTTAATTAGGTCAACTAACTTAACTTCACCTTACAATATCTTCTCATCTTTTTTCCAATCTTTGATATAAAAACTTCTTGCTGTGAACCGGTCACATTCTTTATATTACTTCCTTGATGGCACGTTTAATGTATATAGATATAAAAATGCAAGGGGACATTAATTCACAGTCATACTTCCTAATATTACCACAAATAACCAAGTGAGATAATAAGTTGAGGAAACTTATTTTATTGGCAAACATTACAGATTTTTTATTGAAAAACAAAAAAACATTTATCTTTTTGATGTGTCAAAGTTAAAGTAGCTTTGCAGCTACAAGTTTATGCTGTAAAAATGCCTTTTTAAGTAAAAAAATATATATTCAAATATATTCAGCCATGTTCTGTGTCATAAATGTGGTGTGTGCCTGGCACTCTCTTCTGCCATGCATTCTGCCGTATAGTCCTTTATTATCTCCATTCTTCTACTTCTCTCTTTTCTCCTCTAATTCAATCCCTTTATCCACTAGATTACCTTGGCTGTTCATACTGTACCTAAAATGACAAGATCACGAATTACTTTTGCAATCTCATAAGCAAACCAATGCTTCCACTTCTATATTAACAACTGTCAAGAAACATGTCCCTACTCACAATGGCTTCACAATTTCAGTTTCATTATCAATTCATTCCTCTTCTGCATATATGGATTCTAAACTGTTTTCAAGTGGAAAAACTGTGGGGAATTATCATTTTTCATATTTATGCTCAAGCACAGAAGACCAAACATAAACTAAGTCCGGTGACAATGCAGAGAAGATACACAAATAGTAGCAAAAATAACCAAAGGCTGAAGTTCTAAATAAAGCTTGTGTATTTTTTTAAAATCTAAGAAAAAAGCCACCTATAGACAGACTTACTTCAATTCCTGTGTTTTCCACATGATTTTCAATTATCTCTATACGTTGTCTCTTGACAGATGGCTCTTCGCTGATTACAGTCTCTTCTGCAATGTCTGTGGCCGGCACTGTTAAAACTAAAACATAGAAAAACTTTTTAAGCTACAACTTTCTATGACAACACCAGTCAGAGAATAAAAATGCTTCCTGGATATTTAAAAAGCAAGTGTTCTTAATGATTTTTATAATTACATGCGTTCATATAGTGTTTCATCCCAAAGCATTATAAATCAGAACAGACCTGCTTCATTTATCTCTGAAGTGCAGCCCCTCTACACAGCAGATCAGGGGGATGTGAGAAATTCATCCCAAAGAGGACTTTAGACAGGACGCCGGGGCAACACACCTTTTTACTACCGTCTCATCTGTCCACGTCCACCATAGCAGGGTATTGGCTTTTGGAAATTTTAATTCCATAGGGGACAAACAAATCAAAATCTAAACTGTGAAACAGATTGTGAAATATAAATACAATATCTACACTTGCTTCCTTCTTCTGCATGTGTTACATATAAAATATTTTCCCATCATTAAATATCTTTGCAATATGGTTCGAAATTTACCTTGCTGGCCGTCTGGCATTGTCACGATGATGGGCTGGCCTATGCCACTTGCTGTCTGTAAGTTGCCAAGCTGGATGCCATCTGTAACAATAGTGATGACTTGCTGCCCCCCAGAGCTGACGACCTGCTGAATGGCCCCATCCACTGAGTCTGCTGTTACCACTTCTTCTGTTGCAACTACTGAACAATGAGAAAAAATATCACAGTACTTAAGATATAAAACTACAGGGTATAAACTTTACCATGTGCAAATCAAGCAAAGTTTGCATGTATCACAACAACAGGAGCATGTGTTTTAAAGAACTTGTTACACAGAGGTGTCAACTTTGAAGATTTAGTGGTAATTTCTCCCTAATTGATGGAAATGGCCTAAAGAACATGGTGAAAGAAACGCCAAGCACAAAGAAAATAGATGTCTTTACAAATAATAAAGCTGTCAAGCAGTTCACATCGCAGCTTTAAGTTGATCTACCTTTTTATTTTTTTTGTACATTGAAATTGCCTCGAAAAGTTAGTCTTCTGTGACTTTTGCGCCACCACAAACACAGGGGTTTAATCTCCATGAGTCAATGTTAAATTATACTGTAGATCATTGACTGTGAGGAAATACAAAAGAAAAGCAAACACTTCTGGGATGTGATGACTTGTGCAGTCATCTAAAAAAAAACATTTGCTGTGATATAGCCTATACAATTGGAGATGTTGGCTTTGATAAGGCCTCTTGGAAAGAAGAGTATTTGAATTCTGTCCACTTAAAGATCATACATGACATAAGGAGACAAAAGCCAATGCTTTCATCTGATGTAAAACCTTCCTTTAATTTGTGTTTTAATGTGCACTCTACTCTGAAGACTGGATGCTGTCATTACCCTTTGTTTTGCTTGGACTAGAATTCTAAAAGGTCAAGTATCTCATAATGCACTTTCAAAACACCATCTTTGGGGCAGCATCTTCATTCATGTCAAAAGTTCTGATAAACTCAATAGACACTCCCTGTACGTTCCTCTTTTCTAATACCCTGCCTCAGTTAGTCAAACCCATATCAAGACTCAGTCTGATCACAGGCATCCACGTCATAGTGAGCCAGGAAAAGCATCAGGATAAAGAGGTTAATCTCCAGGTGAAATTGGAGGAGACAAGAAAAGGTAGTGTTTTTTACCAAAAGGTGTTCTTCGGGCATAAGGTGGTGTGTCATGCTGACAAGCTGCTTTTTATTTCCGCTTTCTAGTGTGGAATTAACCCCTGCTTGCTCCTTTGCACCCTACACTGACTCAGCTCCCCACTCCAAGCACTGGGTTAGTTCCATTATCCAGACCAACCCCCTCTACTGCTGGCTGCATCTGTTCGAAGCATTCGGGTACTGTATTTATCCAGAATAAAATGGTAAAGTAAAAAATAACACTCTCCTATTTAAAGTAAAATGATGTACTCTTCAGACACTTATTTCAAAGTTTACATATGTAGATATCTTTGTTTTGGTAAAGGTAACATGACCACATCTGCTAATTTACATTATCATAAAAGCATTTAAAAAACTGAAGAACTACACTATTAACCGGAACAATCATTTGTATACCACTACCACACCCTTGGTTTAATGGAGACACAGCTAGTGTAATATATTTGGGTAAATAATGATACCGTGCATCACCGTGCCCCAGGAAAGTACAGTGCAACTTACTCCTCGGGCAGCCTGGAAAAGTAAGCGGGACTTTTCCCCCCTCCTAACACCTCCTTTTGTCTGGCAATGCAATTCTTCAACTGAGAAGGTTTATAGGGGGTGTAGCAGCACTGAGCTTTTTGCCTAAAAAAGTCTCAATTATATTTTTAACAACTTAACACATAGTACCTGGAGTTTCAGATGAATTGGATAAGGGAGCAGATGCTTCTGCTAAAGCTGCTAATGTAGCTAATACTGATGTTGATGAGTTGCCAAACTGTACTGTTGACACACCCGCTTCATCTAAGAAGAGATTTAACACAAATTAGTATACAACCCTGGTTTTCCATTTACTAACAATACATTAAATCTCTTTTTAATTTAATCAGAACTGAAGAATATAAAACACAATCCACAATCCTAAACCTAAAAGTCCTAAGATATGATGTACATCTATGCTCCATCAGTATTAGAACAACTGTTTATCAGCCTATAGCAGATTCCAGCATCTTGCATATCGGGATATTAAATGTTGCTAGGAAAGCCAAATTTTGTTTAAAAAAACCTTGGATGTGCCAACAATACCCAGACCTGTCACTATTCACTCTACACTGCAAAAAAATGAGAAGTGACAGACTGCAAATTAAACATATACCTGCTATTGATTAGCTTGTGCATTAGAGCTGACTGCCATGTTACAGTAAAGGCTAATGTCCACCACTTGACGAGTAATAAAACACAAAGTTTTCGTTAATTCAGCCACCAGGCCTGTAACACTGCAACAGCTCGGCAAAGCACTTCATGTTCCCAGACAGCATACCTGTTGATTTTGAGGAATTGGCAGCCGAAACCAGGCCTGCGAGATTCACCACTCCTCCAGGACCAATTATAAACTGAGGCGTAGCTGTGTGTATCGTGACTGTGTCGGGACTTTCTGGGTTCGTGTTGATCTGGTTTTGCATGGACACCTGTGGAGAAGGCAAACAGTCAGTGTAGGGTCCGCTGTTAATCATTAAAGAACTGCCTAAATTCATGCCCATCGCTAGTACACTATTTATTTGAGGACTTCCTATGAAGCCATGCTGTGCTCTGGGATAAAGCCCTTTGGAGCTGCAGCCTTTGATCCTAGACACACATGCAGCAGGTCAAGAAACAACTCCCCTTACACCTAATCCGGCAGCGTACATGCCTTCATTGTATCATTTTTCACTGCATCATTTAAAAGAATAAATCTTGTTTTTATACTGATCAGAGAGGACTGCTTCTTCTAATTTAGTGTCATCATTTACAGTAAACCACACCCTGGGCTAAATCAAAACATATATCCATTCTCCACACATAAGCTGTGAACCCATTTAATTGATGCCAGCCTGTTGTTTGCAAAATGCCTCTTTCTTCTGGTCAAAAAAAGAATTTGTATTTTGTAACTAGCAGGTGCATCAGGGTTGGTATTAGGGCTGGGCGATATGCCCAAAAACATTATCACGATAAATTTAATATCAGTCGATTAGATAATTATCACGATAAATCTCAAATTATATCTTTCAGGTTTAAAGGCAGATTTTTTTCTCCTGAGTGAAAGTTGAAGAAACAGTTAATTGGAAACTTAAACAACTCTTTATTTTAAGAACACAACAAACACTTGCCAAACAGCAGAAACATTAAACAAATGAATAGAGAGTATTCAAGTCTTTTTTATGTCAAAATATGCATAAGTAAAAATTACAAAATAAATATCTTAATAGAAAAATTAAATACTGCAGTGTGATCAAACACACATAGAAGATGGCTCAGACTGCAAAGTTTAAAGTGCTCTGTTTTATGTCTGATTGTAAAAAGCCAAAATATCTCCAAATTATGGAAGTTGAATGACCTTTTCTGTCGACAATGTCATCGTCCTTCAAGCTGGTCACTGGCAGCACTACATTTGCTTCAGTGTCGCTCATTTCTCCACTCTAACTACAATCCTGTCAGCCACCACCGTGTGGGTAAACAACACCACATTAGCAGCCCAGTCTGCAACACACATGCGCACTCGCGCAGTATTTTGTGCGCAAAAGCATAAACATATATATTGAACATTTATCAAACTTTTGTTAAAGTTATACCGAGGAAAATTTTATTGCGATAATTATCGTTATCGAATTATCGCCCAGCCCTAGTTGGTATTTGACCCAGACCTAGGAAGAATGGGAAGAACACATTGCATTGCATCTGACAGTCAAATAGGAGGCCACCAGCAAAATGGAAAATGTTTCCACTGGTTCTCATTAGCTTCAATTATAGATACAATTGTTAAATTGTCAAGGAACCACAACGTTAATCAAAGTTCAGAATCAAAATCACTAAGAATAAAACTTCTAACTTCTGCCAACACAGAAATACTTACATTTTTAGAAGAGTCAAATATAATCATATAATATTACAACAGTAAAATACCTTATTTGGATAAGTGCTCACCCCCTTTACAATTGCATTTGTAAACTTGCACAAAATGGCACAAGTCAGGAGATTGGTATATAAAAGGTTGTAAGGATCCCATGGAGCACAGTCAAGACCATCATTAAGAAGTGGAAGGTGTATGGCACCACCCAGACCATGCCTAGACCAGGCCGACAGAAACTTTGAACAAG